TTGCAAACGCTCATCCAGCTGACTGCAGGCATTCTCCATGGACGTCCAGCCAGTCTCCATGGCCAACTGTTTAGAGAAAAAGGCATAATCACAGTAATCCAACATTGGGAACAATATCTCTAGACTGTGATCGAACTCCACGGAAACCAGGATCTTGTCATCCGCCTCCTCCTTGGTGGCATTAAAGGCAGCTATGTCCTTGAGCACTTCAATGTTGGTGTCAAAGAACAAAGCCCTCATATGAATCCAACCATAATTGTTGAGATTCAGTTTCCGGAAATCCTCAATGCTGACATAGGGAAAACCACGATTGCAAATGATCAGGGTTCGTGTATTCATCGATTTGGCCATGATCCCATTGGCGAAAGGCGGATCCAGATCACACATCGGACAGTTTTCCACAATAATACCTCGGTTTGTCATGTCTTCGATGAGCAATTGAAATATAGGCTGGCTGCTCAGCATGCCAAAGAACTCCACATTGACACCGAGATTCCGGAGGACTGTACAGTTGTTGGAGGCACTGCCGCCACGGTGCCAAGACCCAGAAATGGCCTTCTCATGGACATTCTCCTCCGGAAAGTTGTTAACAACGGAGACACAGTCAATGTTGCTGACGCCCATGCAAAGAACCCTCTTCTTGCCAACGGCCCAGCTCAGTTTGTTGCCATAATCAATCTCGCTCATACTCGCTTTAATTTTGCTTTAATTTTTAAAATTTATTTCTTAAAAGCTCGAATGTCTCTGAGTGTCAGAATTTGTTTGGAAATTGATACAAAATTATGACAAGCATTTAAAACTTTCAACATAAAATTAAGTATACGGTTAAGATAAGTTCAGAAACAAGATGTCCAAATGGTCTGCGTCAGTGTGTGTTGAAGTCCATACTGTGTGTGGGCTGCACGGAAGTGGATTATGTGACCACTGTGGAGAAGGTGGACTTCCAGAGGGATCGTTCTCGCACCCAGGATGGCTATATGGTGCGGGGTGGACGTTCCTCGAATGTGAGCACAGTGCTGCGTCTTCTTGGTGCCAGAGCGGAGCTCTTTGGCGTCCTCTCCAGCAATCCCATGTACAGCATAATCCTGGATGATCTCGAGAAAAGGGGCATCGATATAAGCCACTGCACCTTTACGGACGAGAGTCCGCCCTTCTCCATAATTGTCCAAGAGCGATTTACACGGCGCTGCACTACGGTCTACTGTGACAAACCCTTTCCCTATGTAACAGCCGAGGACTTTAAGAAGCTGGATCTCAACCAATATGGTTGGGTGCACTTTGAGGGACGCAGTCCAGTCGAAACCTGCGATATGATTCGTTTGGTCCTCGATCACAACAATGAACTCGATGAAACGGACAGAATAGTGGTCTCATTGCAGATCTATAATGCCTTCGATACGATTGTGGATCTCATTGGAATGCCAGATTATGTGATTCTCACCAAATATGTTGCAGAGCTGAAGGGTTGGACATCGCCGCGGGAGTCCTGTGATGGTCTAAACTCGATCCTACGGATGCCGCGGAGCATCAATATCCGACGACCGTGCTTCATCGTACCCTGGAGTAGCCTGGGAGCCGGTTGCATGACCCGTGATGGCAACTACTTTGAGTTGCCCGCCCATAAGCCCAAGAAGATTGTCGATCGGGTGGGGGATAGTGATTGCTTTACAGCCGGCTTCATTTATGCCAATTTTGTGCGTGGAAGGCAACTGGCCCATGCCGTGGACTTTGCCAATGCCGTGGCCAGCTACAAGTTAGCCCATGTTGGTTACGATTGCCTGGGCAGCATGAAAGTGGACGCAGTGAAGCTGAATGTTCACATGGAGCCGGATCAGGGTCCAGGGTCCTCTGACTCTGAGAATGAAAATGAATCCGACCGCATTTGCAGGAAGTATTTGCATAGACCGTTTCAGTTGATGGAGGCAGACGAGGCTTCTATAGTCACCGATGATGACCACCTACCTTCTTAGGTTCCCGCTTCTGTGTTTTAAATTATTCAAATGATTTAAAAATATATTCATTTTCGAAACAAATTATATGGAATTTAGATGGATGATTGGAATGACTTCATCTTATCCCTAGTTGAGGGGCCAAAGTGATGGATGAACTCGTTGAGGGAGCACTTGACATCACCCAGCTGCGATGAGATGAGCTTTAACTGAAGCAATTGCTGGTCCGTGGCCGCCTGAGAAGATGTCACCTCATCATCGGTCTCACTTTCCCCGATTTCCTCCAGCTTAATGTACTTCACGATATGATCATCCAGGGTATCGACCACCATAATCGTATGACCCTGCTGAATGTAATGATGCAGGGCCAGGGCATCGGCTATAATAACATTTTCCTCGGCACTGACCAAGTATCTGCCAAAGATTCCAAACTCTTCCGCTGAAATTTGATTTAATTATAATATATAAAGAAAGTAACTCAAAGATTATACCCACCAGCGGTTAGAATGCGACTTGTTGTCAAGGTTGGAAATACTCGCAGCAACTTCCGTGACTTGTTACTCGACGAAATGAGCACATAATATTGACCATTCTTAATGCTAGACATCTTTGGTGTACTTTTTAGGGATTTCCCAAATAAAACATCCAAATTTTCTACTTCAAAGGAATCGTGACAAGTGTTTTTGAGCTAAACGGAATAAGGTAAACTAAACATTAAAGGCAATGCCATCTTGGTTTTAGCTTTTGTTTATTCTATTTTGCTAGACACGACATAATTTCGTGTTTGGCCGATACAGATGCAATGATTTAGTTGCCACAGACACTGGGAGGGAGAGGGAGGCCATGCCTTAATTCCAGAGAGATGGCCCTCAAAGGAAATGGCTAAAGATACATTTATATATATGTATTGTAGTATATTGTGTGTGCCGAGCAAGAACTGTTGCCACAGCATAATTGCCACATGATTAATTCTTGAGTCGAGGCGAAACTTGTCCGGGTCCGAGACCAAGATAAATGCTAATAGATATACATTTATGTAGAAGTTCTGGACGGTCATTTATCATTTCAGACAACAGGCAGGCTAGCAGGCAGCCTGGCAGTCCGGCTGTCCGGCAGGATAGCAACAACAATTACCACGAATATAAGTGACAATTTTCATGCATTTTCCTGGCCACGCGGCGTATGAGCGATGAAGATAATTTTGGTGCGAAGCAGCAAAGATTATCCAGAGATGAGGACAACGACGTTCAGGCAGCATTAAATCGATAAATGTCCAGCAAATGCGACCCAACCAAGAAAAACTTCTGCCTGCATCTGGATGTGGCAACTCCCTCATAAACACATCGAAAACTTGAACTTTTTTCCATTCGAACTGCTGTGTGTGTCGCCGCCACACGATTATGAGCAAGAATTATGCTTGGCAAGTGTGCAGTTGCCAACTGGAAAGGAGTTTTCGTGCACAGTAGAAAAATTCTAGAAGATATTATTAGGAACTATTTAAGTAATATTCTACTTTCTTTATAAAAAACCCTTATAAATTTCTTCTTAGTACCCCCATAAATTCCATTACAAAACTGCTAATTCAACAATCTTGTATTTAGAAATATTTTTAAAATTCTACATCTCTTCAAGCCTTATGAGAAAAGTCTCTGATTTTAAATTGAAATGCATGCTCTTGCAATTTATCTATTTATCTGGTATTAAAATAATTTTAAAGTATTTTAAAAAATAATATGTAAAGCCTTAATAAAACCTCTTTGTTTCCCTCAGTGTTTCACCCGCATTCCGGCATCGAGAGGCGGAAGGATCGAGCCGGAGACGCTTCCAACTGACTTCCGGAGGACTCGAATGCAGCTGGCAAAAAAATAAAACGCCAAAGAGCAAACCCCACAGACAGCACACATTTACATGGTGAATAGCGACCGGCATTTATGTAAATTAAAAATTATTTCGGCTGTAAAAATTCAGTGGGAATTGTTTTTGGCAATGTTCTCGGCAAAAAAGAAAAAACCCACAACTAACAAGCGTTCCTATGAAGAGAAAATTCAACTTTGACTTAAACTGTACTCTGAGATACCCTTTTTCTTCAGTAAAAAGAAGGTACGTAAATTATTGTAATTTGAAATGAAGTATTAAAGCGGCTTAAATATTCTTTGGCTTAAAAATTTAATTTTAATAACCTTGAAATTTTAGATAAAATAAACCAAATCTATTATTCTAATTAAACTACTCTCTGTAAGAGAATTAAATAATAACGGAGCAGCAACGAAAATAATAACAGTCATGACAATGGCCGTGGCAATTGGCAAAAACATTTGCTTTTGTTTTTTAACTGCATTGGCTGTTAAGCAGATATAGAAGGGGAATAGTTATTGTTATTATTTGGAGGCACTGTCATATCGAAAGCGAAAATAGTGACAGAAAAATGGCAGACAATGCGACCGGAGATAGGCAAGAATGAGCATTTTGCAGCAGGAAATGTTTGTATTTAAATATTCGATTAAATATGGGAACATTAATTTAAATTTTTAAAGGTTTTGTTTTAAGAAATGTACATCTTTTCTGTTAGTATTTTTAATGCTTGAAAAATGTGTGTAAGGTTTATATAATTTTAAAATAGGTTTAACGATTCTTTAGGCTATCAAGATCAATAAGTATATCCTATCACAGCATATAGACAATATACAACCTCAGCAAAGTTATGCTGCCAATGGAAATACTTCTCCATCGCTGCTTGTTAGCTCCAGCAAATTTTTGAAAATTATTCAATCCAATTTTCATCCAACCCTCCACTCTCTCTCTCTCTCTCTCTGTGTGTGTGTGTGATTTGGTGCATAGATTATGCAGTTGGCTTCAGTTTATGATTGGCAAATCCAATATACGCTGTGCACTTGGCAGCAGATTGGCAGCCCCGCGTCCGCACCGCAGAGACCCAAAAGATGGCCGCCGCCTGGCTGCCACTTTATGCCACTTGCACGCATATTTCGACGGGCTCACACTCACACTACACACACACACACACTTGCACTCGCATGGCCCGAAACGCAGACACAAGATGGCGGCGCGCCCATTTCCGGCTGATGGGGCAATAGCGTGATTATCGGCAGACGAGAGACGACGGGGCAGGCCAGGGCAACCGCAGCGACAAAAAATGATTGGGCAAAGAGTCAATCAAAGGGTGAACTCGAATATTAAATACCCAAAAAGAAAATATATAATAATAAATAAAAGGGCGTCTTAATAAATACATTGATAACAAACGAATCATAATATAGCAATATTATTCTTTAGACTATTAAAGACTTATTTTGATATCTTTACATTTTTTAAATATTAACTTGGATTTCTTTATGGCTCTGGCTTAATTAAATTTTTTATGGCACTATATTAGTTAATGAAAATATTTTTTTATTAACAATATTTGTTTGAGAACTGGGTCAAAGTTAAACCTTATTTCCATTTACGGGGTGTGCCAGCAAAGGGACCTCACACACATCCAGTTGGGCAAAGCTGCTGCCACAGCAGTAAGCTGCAAAATAAGCCAAAAATATGCGTTATCAAGCTGGGCCAATAAAAAAAATACACATACCCGTGCTTTTTAGCCAAGCAAACAGCGAGGACAGTGGGTCAAAGAGAGTTCAAAGGACAAAAATATAGGAAAATTTGCAGAAGTTTAAGTTTTTAATTTTCGAAGTTTACATTTAAATTTTGTATAGAATTAATTGAAAATCATCCATTATAATTTTAATTAAATTTACTTCCTAGGAAATATCAGTCTCTAAACTTCATCATAACGTCTCAAAATAAAATATAGGGTAACCTTCCTTACCTTCCTTTCTTGTTCTCATTAGTTTTTAATCAGTAAAAACCCTCGTTTTATTTATAATATTTTCTATTAAATCCTTTAGT